GATTTGATACTTAGGACCTCATCAGATGAGAGGAATTTAGCATCCTAGGATGCTTTGACCATGTCTAATGGATGGAGCTCCATGGCAGCCATCACACAATGTCATGTGACTTCTGACAGAGGCACCACCCCCAACCAGGGGGAAGTGTTACCCTCCCATCAAACCCCTATGAAGCCAGCATGGGATCTTGCCAGGAGGACAACACTTTCTCCATGTGATGGGGAAAGCCCTGCCGAGAGGGAGCTGCATGCAGTCTGATGGATTCGCCCCACTGCTGCTCTCATCAGAAAGGACACTTCCCCTGTCTTTTCTGATGAGGCCCAAGAAAATGGTTCAGGAGGATTAAAGGACTGATTGCACAGGTTATTAAACACAGAATGTTTGCACATCATTTAATTATCTGTTTGGCTATTTCTTTATTCATTTTCACTTTATATAACTTTTTAGCATTTGTATTCAACCTTGTTCAGTATTTCATTTTCAGTGTCACAATCAGAATTAATCTTTCTGGCAACATAGATTAGTATTAAAGTGTGATGGAAAGCAAGAGACATAGTGAAGACATTTGTCGTAAAGATATTTCACTGTCACATCTCCGATACAATAATAATGAATGTCTTACAATACTAGTCAAGGACTGTGGCACTACAATTCTGAAAAGGACAAAGAATGCAAAGAAACAATAACTGTAGAAGGAAACAGATGGAGAGGAGGCTCTTACTGCAGTGGTGCAGAGAACAGGAACAGCAAAGTCAAACTGTAGGTAGAGTTTGTTCTCCCTAAAGCCAAATGGCCATAGTATTTTCTTCTTCAGAGTAGATTAGGTGGTACACATCCTGCATTAATATCGCTTCAGTCTGGCCATGTTCTTAATATACAGTTTCATGAATACTCTGTTCTCCAAACCAATTGTCTATTGCCTACCAACATATATTTGGATTTGTAGCATTTTTCAGAATTATCCTATATCCATTCAATCTATTCAGGAAAATAGTAATCTAATACATCATCAGTTAGATTTTGATGCGTTTTCAGATGAATGTCTCCTGCAATTACACTGGCCTATAATAAACCCAATAATGCTTTCAGTTCCTGCCTGCAACATTGCCTCTTGTGTCCTAAATATCTCAATCCTCCCTTGTTTCACTACTACACACCTCTTCCCATTTTTGCTCTTCCTCTAGTAGTTTTACACACTGTTGCTATTTGTACTATTAGTAGTAGCATTCAACCCCAGAAAACATAACTTTTTTTTTACCTGCTGTGAGTTTTAGCCACCCAGGAAGAAGTAGTATGCCTTACAGAATTACAGACCATGCACAGGTGTGGGGAAGAATCTGGGGTGGGGCCTTACTCTGATAGGCCTATGACTGAAAAAATAGAGTTTCATCTACAACCCAGGCAAGTTTCTAAAAGTTTTATGAACAGATTCTGACAGATATTTTCTTAAATAGCTTTTTAGCTCCCTACATCTTCCTCAAACACACCCAATATTAGATGCCTTTGGTGTTGAAAATAGCAATAGGAAGGTAAAGGTAAATGTTTTTCCTTGACATTAAGTCTAGTTGTGCCTGACTTTGGGAGGTGGTGCTCACCTCCATTTCTAAGCCGAAGAACCAGCTTTGTCCATAGACATCTCCAAGGTCATGTGGCCAGCATGACTGTATGGAGTGCTGTTACCTTCCTGCAGAAGCAGTACCTATTGATCTACTCATGTTTTTGAACTGCTAGGTTGGCAGAAGCTGTGGCTAACAGTGGGAGTTCACCCGGCTCCCCAGACTCAAACCGTCAACCTTTCGGTCAGCAAGCTCAGCAGCTCAGCAATTTAACCTGCTGTACCACCAGGGGGCCCTAAAATAGCAGTAGAGACACCCAAATTCATAACATGCAGGGTTGTCAATCACACAACTCACTGAAACCTAAGTTCTGAATCCTACCGTTAGTCGTAAGTAGCATCAACCCAAGAAGCAGTATGGAATAATAGATTTTGGGAGATCGGGGTTTGAATCCCCTTTCAGCTGTGGAAATCTAATCAATCATCTGTAAAAGTCAAACTCCCTCAGCCTCAGAAACAAGTACATGCAAACGCTCCTTGAGCAAATTCTGCCAAGAAATCCCTGTGCTAAGAATCACCTTTGCTCAGAAATAACTTGAAGACATACAACAATAACATATCATAAAATATGGGGGATTGGACATGCAATGGGTTAAACCAAGGTTCCTCAGACTTTGTAAACAGAGGCCCAGGTCACAGTCCCTCAAACTGTTGAAGGACCGGATTACAATTTGGGAAAAAATGAATTAATTCCTGTGAACACTGCACATATCTTATTTGTAGTACAAAAACACTTTAAAACAATACAATAATTAAAATGAATAACATTTTTAACAAATATAAACTTATTAGTACTTCAATGGGAAGTGTGGGCCTGCTTTTGGCTGATGAGATAGGATTGTTGTTGTGTACTTTCAAGTCATTTCAGACTTAGGTTGACCCTGAGCGAGGGCTTGGTAAATGACCTTGGAGGGCCATATCCATCCCCCGGACCTTCGTTTGAGGACCCCTGGGTTAAACCCTTGGGTAAAAGTATGATAGGTGGGACCCAAGGCTGGTACACGCTGGTCTGAATTAATGAGGGGAACACATGCGTGAAACAGCCCATTGTTCACCAGAAAGGGGAAGGGGAAATATTTATATCCCATTTACCATCTTCATAACCCGTGGTTTATCATTTCACAGTCAATAACTCTAACATCGCTTTACTCGCCTTAAGCACAATGGTTCCCTGTTTGGTGTCACCCTGTTTCTGTCCCCCCCCCTTTCTGGTCTCCCCCCCTCCTGACCGGCATTGGGCTTGTCTTCCATTCCTCTGTTCTGAACCACGTTGTGCAAGTAGCGTTCTGTTGGGTCCCAGCTATCATACTTTTACCAACCCTTGTGCTGGCAGAACTGAAGACCAACAGGTCAAAAGTTCAAATCCAGGGAGAGTACAGATGAGCTCCCTCTGTAAGCTCCAGCTCCCCATGCGAGGACATAAGAGAAGCCTCCCACAAGGATAGGAAAACATCCAGGCATCCCCTGGGCAATGTCTTTGCAGATGGCCAATTCTCTTGCACCAGAAGCAACTTGCAGTTTCTCAAGTCCAATAGGTCAGAGGTTTGAATCTGGGGAGAGCGCAGATGAGCCCAGGCATGGGCAAACTTCTGCCCTCCAGGCGTTTTGGACCTCAACTCCAAGAAATCCCAGCTACCTTACTGGCTGTTAGGAATTAGGGGAGCTGAAGGCCAAAACACCTGGAATGCCAAAGTTTACCCATGCCTAGCTTAGCCCCAGAGGCGGTTCTAGGTAATTTTCAACGGTAAGCAAACAGTATTTTGGTGCCCCCCCCCCCCAACCAATCACTGATATATATTTTCTGTTCGTCGTGGGAGTTGTGTGTGCCATATTTGGTTCATTTCCATCATTGGTGAAGTTCAGAATGCTCTTTGATTTTAGGTGAACGATACATCCCAGTAACTACAACTCGCATATGTCAAGGTCTATTTTCACCCAAGAGCACCTCAAGAACCCCCCTGGGCAAAATCAACTATACTGCAAATGCTTATTTTGCGTAATGGGTTGAGCCGCCCCTGCTTAGCCCCTACTCCTTCAAGGCTAGGAACTTTGCCCCACCCTCACCTGCCACTGCTCTAGCCCTTCCACCTTGGCTCCTTGCCTTCCCCCTAAAGGCCACCAAGGGCCAGCCACCAACCAGGGAGGGGCAGGCTGGAGGAAAGGGGATGCTGTTGAAGGCAGTGATTCCCAAGTGCCAGTCCTTCAGATGTTTTGGACTTCAGTTCCCAGAAATCCCAGCTAGTTTACTAACTATTAGGAATTGGGGGAGCTGAAGTCCAAAATAACTGGAAGGCCACAGTTTACCCATGCCTAGCTTACCCCCAGGGGCGGCTCAACCCATTACGCTAAGTATTTGCAGTATAGTTGATTTTGCCCAGGGGCGCTCTTGAGGCGCTCTTGGGGGAAAATAGACCTTGACATATGCGAGTTGTAGTTACTGGGATGTATAGTTCACCTACAATCAAAGAGCATTCTGAACTCCACCAATGATGGAATTGAACCAAATATGGCACACAGAACTCCCACAACGAACAGAAAATATATATCAGTGATTGGTTGGGGGGGGGGGGGGCAGGCACCAAAATACTGTTTGCTTACTGTTGAAAATTACCTAGGGCCGCCTCTGCTTACCCCCTACTCCTTCAAGACTAGGAACCCGGGCCCACCAACCCTCACCTGCCATTGCTCAAGCTCTTCCAACTTGGTTCCTCGCCTGCCCCCTACAGGCCACCAAGGGCCGCCCACCAGCCACCAAACCAGGGAGGGGCGGGCTGGAGGAGAGAGGATGCTGCTGAAGGCAGTGATCCCCAAGTGCCAGTCCTCCTGGTGTTTGGGACTTCAGCTCCCAGGTGCCTCAGCGGCCTTGGCCCATGACCAGGGAGTCTGGAAGCTGAGGTCTAACCCACCTGGAAAAGAAGAGTTTGGGAAACTGTGAGGGAAGCAGCCTCCTTCCTCAGAGAGGCGCACTCAGCCTCCAGCTCTGCCAAGTTACTGGCGGGCAGTGGGACCCCAAGAGGGGGGCAAAGGCGGGGGGAAATGGGGAGGGTAGGCATTTCCCCAGGGGGCCGGGGGGGGAGCCTGCCCACCACCGCAAAAGCAGCCCATCCCTGGCCTTATCATCCTCACCTCTCGCCCAGTTTCAATGTGAAAGCCCTTGTTCTCTTCTGGGGAGACACGGCCTGGTGGTCCCTTTGGTTCTTCTCCCACAAGGGTCTCTCTCTTTCTCCCTCTCTTTCTCCCTCCGGCGCCTGCGCGCACCCAAGCGCGAACTTTCCCACCTGCGCTTCCTCCGCGTTTCACCTTCAGCACACCGTTCTCCGCCGCCCCGGCTTTCTCCTCCCTTCCTTCCTTCCTTCCTTCCTCCCTTCCTTTCTTTCTCTCTTACCTCGGCTCAGGGAAGGTTCTCTCTTCCCGCTGGCTTGCTGAAATGGGACTTGTTGTCCTTCTTTCCCGCGGCGGGACTTCCTCCCTGCCCTCGCCCCTCCTTCTCTTGGAATGAATGGGGCGCGTTCCTTTCCCCTTCAAATTCGCTGCAGAGGCGGCAGCGGCAACGTCCCGAGGAAGGCAGCCAAGCCCTTTCCCCCTTTCGGGCTCGGAGGAAGGTCCCTCTGGAAGGCTCTGGGGCGCTGAGGCTCCTTCTCCTCGCCCTCCCCGCTGCCCTCTCCCTTTTTGGATGGGGGTCCTTGAATGGCAAGAGAGAGCGACTCGGGGCTGGCTCAACTTCGCCTCACTTTCTGCGCCTGCCTCTCCCTCTTCTTCCTCCTCCTCCTCGTCGTCCCCTCGACATCAGCCAAGCACATGGGCCGATGGTGACATTGAGGTCCCCCGTGGCTCGCCAAAGCCACCCGCTGCGCCAGCCAAAGGTCCCTGGGTTGAGAGACAAGGAGAGGGAGAGGGAGAAGAAGCGGGAAGGTCGGGCGGCTGCTGCTTGCTGCTGCTCCTCCTGCTGCTTGGGGACGGTCCCTGGCTCGCCCCCTGCCGAGCTCTCTCTCGCTGCCGGGTCCCTTCCACTCGCCGGCGGGCCCTCTCCCCACCTCCCAGCAGGCGGGACCCAACCCCCCCCCCCCTCCACTCCGCCGCAAAGACCAGCAGGAGGAGGAAGAGGAGGAGGAGGAGGAGGGGAGAGCAGGCAAGGCGCTCCGGGACCTGGGTGGAGAGGCAAAGACCAGAGACAGCAAGGGGGCTTCAAGGGGCACCGCTTCCACTTGAAGTCGGCTCTCAGGACACGTGCCACCCGGGCGCCTCAGCATCTTTGGTGCCGCAGCAGCAGCAGGCAGAGAGTTGCCATCCTGGCTCCTGCATCCTTCTGGGAGCAGCAGGATCTCGCCTCCACGGTCTCCTCAGCCGGAGACAAGGGGGGCATGGGAGTCCCTTGGGTCTCAACTGGGGGTGCTCTCTCCTCATAGAATCCTACAGTTGGAAGAGACCTATCCAGTCCAACCCCCTGCCAAGAAGCAGGAAAATCGCATTCAATCACCCCCCCCCACCCAAAGCACCCCCAACAGATGGCCATCCAGCCTCTGCTTAAAAGCTTCCAAAGAAGGAGCCTTCACCACACTCCGAGGCAGAGAGTTCCATTGCTGAACAGCTCTCAAAATCAGGAAGTTCTTCCTCGTGTTCAGGTGGAAGCTCCTTTCCTGTAGTTCAGCAGTTCCAAACCTTTTTTGACCAGGGACCACTTTGACAAGGGACCACTTGACCAGGATCTATTTGACCAGGGACCACTCTCTCAACATTAGTACCAAAGGGGTTACAAACCAGTTTTTTGTCAATTTTAGATTTGTATTGTCAAAGGCTTTCATGGCCGGAATCACTGGGTGGTTTCACTACCTCTGAGGATGCTTGCCATAGATGCAGGCGAAACGTCAGGCGAGAATGCCTCTAGAACAGGACCATATAGCCTGAAAAAAACTACAACCCAATTTTAGATTTGGTTTGAGGTGTTGATTCAGAAAATTGTATTTGATAGACCACATCAGCTTTAGTTCTGATACAGAGCATATGTCATGGTTAGCGACAGAGAATGAGTAGCAGGCGGCGCGAAAGGAGCAGAAATGAAATAAAAAAATAAATCAAGAGGAAGGAGGCTCACAGACCAGTTTTTCATCTTTGTGGCCCACTGGTGGTCCGCAGCACACAGGTTAAGAACCATTGCTGTAGTTTGAAGCCATTGTTCCATATCCTGGTCTCCAGGGCAGCAGAAAATAAGCTTGCTCCCTCTTCCCTATGACTTCCCCTCACGTATTTATACTTGGCCACCATGTCTCCTCTCAGCCTTCTCTTCAGCAGGCTAAACATGTCCAGCTCTTTGAGAATAGCTTGAAGACACAAAACAATAACAGTATCAAGCACAGTCATTAAACTCTTAACGCAAAAACTGAACCAAAAATTCCACCACTACCTAAACACACAGAGGATCTTGATGAATCAAGTTTAGGTTTGTTTGTAAAACATAAAAGAGTAAATACTCACAGATTACTTGTGCATAATGAAATATGTGGTTTAACAACCAACTTAAAATATTGGTAGGGTTTTGGAAACAGGGTGAAATAACAGGATGATGGAATTATAGTCCACACAAACCTGCAGAGCCATGTCATGGCCACTGATGTTGGATTTGGACCAAATTTGGTAAAAATACACATTGTGACAAAATTAAAATACTGGTGGGATTTAGAGAGGGAATGACAGAATGACGAGAGTTGTAGATCACTCCCATCCAGAAAGCCATGTAAATCCAGCAGACAATGGATCTGAACCAAAAAAAATATGGTCAGGGTTTGAGGGAATTAGTGGGATAATGGGATATGTAGTCCAAATACATCCAGAGAACTCTGCAGATCCCAGTGGTGATGGCTTTATATCAGACTTGGCACACATACCCACCATGACCAACTTGGGGTATAACAGACAATGAAGGGAATTGTAGTCCACCTCCATCCAGAGATCCATGTTAAACACTGGACAACTCTGGGGATGATATGAATTGTACCTTACCAGATTGGATGGGGGGGGGGGGGGGGGGGGGGGGAGTTGCAGCTGGCCAGGTCTGAACCTGAGAGTTGCAGCCTAACCAGGTTTTGGACCAATGGAAGTTGCACCCCATCAACTTTACAATTTTATAAATGGTCCCATTATACTGTTATGCATTTAAAGATGCGGCCATTCATAAAATTCAAAACTAAACAATGACTCTTTCTAATAATTTCCATTACAAAATACCCAACTCAGGCAACACCAAATACATAAGTTAGTATTTTTTAAAGGAAAATGGTAGGTTTGGGAATAGGGAGGAAGAGGGGGAGGAGAATCCTGCCCCCTGATGTCTCTTAACTTCTGGCATGCTGAAAGGGACCCATCAAACCAAGGTAGATGATGAGAATCTTGCAGGATTGGGACCTACTGGTAGTTTTTACCAATTAATAGGGACAGGAGAATCATGGGGAGGCTGCAAACCAGCAACAGGATTCACACAGCACTATACAATGTGGATGTAGATGCAATTCTGGATTGCCTACCACATGTCCATAGAGTTGTAGTGCAAATATGCCTTGTCACTTATGTCACTGATGCATGGTAACTCTTTAAAAAATAATTAAAAGATTAGTAGAAAAGTGAGCATATTGTTTTACTATGTCTTTGAATTATAAAGAAGTCTTCTGGAGGCCAAGAATAAAATATTGCAGCTGATGTGAACTGCCCAAAAGCAACCCATGTCAACAGAAATAACATTTAGATTATTTTAAGTCACAAAGCTACTGCAAAAAATATGTACCATGACTATCTTATACAGTTACCCTGTCTGGAGGAGCCCATGGGTGTTGTTTAATTGATTAGATTTGATTTGATTTGGTTTTTCTGTTTTGGTTTTTTGTTGGATTTGGATTTTGTTTTTGTTTTGTCTCTGTGTCTGGAATAATGTTTACCCTTTGTCCTTTTGATTATCTCCTTGTGCTTCTTTTCAACTCTGGAAAAATTAATATCCTTTTTCACTATTGATCTACTGGTTGTCTTAGCCCAATAATTTGCTAGTAATATCTCTTTATAATATATAGATCTATTAGTCTACATTAAACAATTCTCATAGTTTGTTTCTGAGGATCTATGCAACTTTTTGCTATCGCTGTACTTAAGAAAACTGCTGGAAATCAAGGGACCTCTGGGAATGATCCCATAGCACATACAAAGGATTGCTTCTGCAGCATATCTGGATCTTGCTAAAATCTGCCAAGTTTTGTACCCCATGTTTGTAGTCATTACCTCACAACAAATACATTATTCTACACATTCTAATCAAGACCATTGATTATATCACATTAGTGTTATGAAGTAGATATGCTCATTTCCCTATCGTGTGGCAGACTCCTGCTGAATTCTAGGAAATGTAGTTTAGGGAAGTCAAGGACCTCTCTAGATGAGAATTCCAAAGGCCCCATCCTAAACTACATTGCCTATTATTCTTCCAGAGTTAGCCACACAACAGGGAAATGAGTGCCCCTACTCTATAACACTAATGTAATTTCTAAGATAATCAGTATCACCTAAAGCTGATTTAACCCTTCCCTCCATCATTTTTTTTTCATTTAAAGAGGTTTCTGAAAAAATGAGCATTGATGATCATAAATACAGGCATACATGTCATTGCAACATGTGTACTGATGTCCTATGCAATTATACAGGTTCATCTTTGTTGGAAGAACATGTGTTACTGGCACCTACTTGGAATTATGAAGATTTCATGCTTAAGAAACTTTGAACAATGTGAAAAGAGCATGAAGATTCACCTTACTCTGTGGAAAACCCTTAACACAGTAAAAGGGCAATAGCTTTATGATGACTAAATAAGAGATCATAAACAACTTGCCTGTAACAGTAGACAGAGCAAACATAACTAGTGTTCAAGGTCACACTCATAAACAGATTGAAAGAGATGATGAGATACTCTTTTTAAGAAAGGAGAAGAAAAAAGAGTTTCCCAGGACACTAATCCTGAGAATGATCACCTCAGCTGTGTTGCACTCCAGGCCGGGAAATACCTCTGTACTTAACCACCATACTCCAGTCCAAGTTAAATCAGCAAAGCAGTTTAATGAAGATTATATAAAAAGCAATTCAGCAAAAATAGTAAAAACTTCAAAGTCTTTAGGTATAAAATAGTCCACGAGATTCAAGGTACAAGAGTAATCAAGAGTCCCAAGGCATCATAACATCAGGCACAGGAAAACAAAGGAAGCAGGAAGCACAAGGCAGCATAAAATCCAGTACTAAAACCCAGGAGCAATACTTCAAACTTGAATAATTGACACAGGAACAAAAACATGAAACTAGAATTCCCTTGACTAAGACTTGGCAAAAGTTGCTGCCTCAATTACCAATGTTGATCAGACTGGCTGGGAAATTCTCCCAGCCTTTCTAATATAGACAAGAAGTCATGCCTCCTTTCATGAGTTTCTGATATGGTTTTCTTCTGTAACAGGTGCTGTGACTGTCCGAGATGCTGCTGAGCAGCCCCAAGTTTACGAAATCTAAGTCTTCTATCATACAGCTCATTATCTTGCAACTCATTATTTTCTGCACTTCGGATTTCAATCTCTGAACTCCGTTCCCTAGACACCAACTCCTCTGCCTCATGTCAGCACCACTCTGGAATGTGACCTTCACTAGCTGCTGGAGACACAGACTCTAGGACTTAAAATCTCATCTTGGCTTGAAGGATCAGAGTTCCCATAATCCCTGTCCACATTACCATTGGTATCAGCCACAATCATGGGCTGAACTGGCTGAAATACACAAAGCTGATTAAATTGGGAAACATTATGTTGGCTTGACACACCTTCCTCTTGACACACTTCTCCCTTTTTCCCTCCATTCATGCCTCTTTGAATTCCACAGCATTGCTGGTAACAGCTGATCTCCAGGTAGAATGCTCAAGGGCCAGGGTTTCC